TTTTTTTTTGTTTTTTTTTTTTTTTTTTTTTTTTTTTTTTTTTTTTTTTTAAACTTCACGTGTACATATAGTTCTTGCTTCTGTAGCTTGCACTAGTACTTTCATTTTTTTAAAAGAAAGTCTTTCCATTTCGCATTGATATGTGAGGCATTGCATATCTTGTGCTGATATGTTTTCTCAATCTTCTCAGGAAAGTTGTGCGTTGTTCAAATGTTGCAGCAGAACAAGAGGTGGAGATGCAAAGACTTTAGATCAGAGGTGGAGATTACTTTTGGCATGAAACATATTACCATTGGCATGGTATAGATTACTAGTGGATATTTCTTTTTTTGTGTACGGAGGACATTATTTTTGTATGATTATCTGTTTGTATGGAATTATTATTTTGGGTTGAATTATATTTGATTTGTGTAGAATTTGATGTTCAAAGACCAAGTTTTTGGATGGTTGAAAGTGAAATAGAAATAGAAATAGGCATATGTATTGTTTTGTTTATATACAGGGTGCAAGTTGCACAAAATAAATACAGGTTGTGGAGAAATTAATAATAATAAAAAAAACACTAAATAAAGTTTTTGGTTACTAAAAATGTTTAGTAGCCAAAAAAAAAAACTTATTGGTGACTAAAAATTTAGTAACCAAAAATATGAGATTTTAGGCAACTAAATAGTTTCGTAGCTAAAAAAAAAAAAAGATGAAAATAATTTCTTTTGGCGACTAAATATTTAGTAGGAAAAAATAAATGACACTTTGGATGACTAAATAGTTAGCAGCAAAAAATAAAATAAAATGAAAAATAAATTTTTTGGCCACTAAATTCTTTGGTCCCTAAATGTAGTAACACTGTGACTAAAACTTATCCACAACTAAAAGTTTTAGTCATTGAAAATCAAAATTAATTTTATTTTGAAAACTTTTGGCGACTAAATATTTAGTCGCCAATTTATGACTTTTGGCTACTAGAAAATATTTAGTTGCCAATATCTTTCCTGACAATTAATCAATGACCAATCTGGCGACCAAAAAAATTAGTTGCTAAAAACTTTCAGCGACTAAAACTTAACCTTTTGCGACTAAAAATTTAATCACCAAAGTGTCATTTCTTGTAGTGATTATACAACATATCCTGTTGACACAAGACTTCATTTGATTATTCTATTCAATTAATCAAATCTGCCCCTTATTTCGACCCCATTGGTAGACATGCCTATTCCATTTCCGAGCTCTGCTTTTTTTTTTTTCCTTCCTCATATGTTCTTTCTAAGATAAAATACATCCATGGTTCCTAAGTGTTTTGTGTCACTTTGATATTTCAAATTTTAATTTTACCAATTCGTTCCAACGGTTTTGCAATTTGAGTCAAATTAGTCTTATTTTAAGTGAACTGGCTAAATTCTTGCCAGAATCATAATGAAATACATTTATAATCTCTAAAATATAAGTTTGCGTCACTGTATTTCCTAAAATTTTTAGTTTTGTCACTTGGGTCCTACACATTGATAAAGAAAATCAAATGCAACTTTTTAGTATTGAGGGGGATCATAGTTTAATTTTATAATTATCCCCTTAACAAATTTGACTCAAATTGCAAAATTTCAAGGATGAAATTGTCAAAATTAAAACTTTGAGTACTAAAATGACAAGAAATAGTACATACTTTAGGGATCTTAGATAAATTTTAGCCTTCCTTTTGTACGTTGGTGTGAAACTTCAATCATTTTTGTCCTCCTCTTCATCATAGTTGAAAGGCAAAGGTACTGTCTTGAATGCACGATACTTGCCTACATTATTCAAATGTTCATTCTCCAACCTAGTTAATCAACAAACAAACAAAACACAAAAAATTAGTAAATTAAATAATTAATTACAAGTTCTAAGAGTCATGTTAAGTTGTGATTAAAGAAAGTGAGGTAATGAAATCTTGGGAAAAAAAAAAAAAAATCTTGGCAATATCTTGAAAATACCTGAAGAAACTCCACATGTCACGTCGAAAAATCTCTAGGGAGGCTACAAGTACAGTTAGGGTTGGTTTGTGTAAGTAAAAAACCTGGAAATTCAACACTGTTTGTAGCCAGGCAAATCTCAACAAGACATTCAAAACCTGCATTTTTCGTTGAACATGGTTAGAAGTTACTGAGCTTGGAAGCTCATACAATTATGTACAGAGTAAATTATGTTTCACATCTTTACATTTTATACCAAATCTCACTTTGGTCTCTAAATTTTCAATTGTAAAAGTCAATCCTTCGCATTTTTAGTCAAAGTACAATGTGGTTTTTCTGTTAATTTGGTGTTAGATTTACTAATGAAAAGTGCCACATGACCCTTATACAAGGCATTTTTTAGGGGACAATATCATTTTCTTCCTCTCAATTTGTTTACTGTACTCTTAACTGAAAATGGAAATTTTCTTTTCTATTTTTTGTTACTGTTTTTCACTCTACAGTTATTTCTGTACAGTATTTTCAGCCTGTACTGAAAAAGAAAATCTTTTTTTCTATTTGTCTACTATATTTTCACTCTAAGGCAAAATAAAAAAATAAAAATAAAAAACCTTTTCATCCTAAAAAATGCCTTGCGTGGGGGTTACACGGCAATTTTTGTCAACAAATTTAACACCAAGCTAATAGAAAGGCCATATGGCATCTTCACCAAAAAATGTAAGAGATTGACTATTAGAATTAAAAAATGACACATCAAGTGAGGTGCCAACAGTAATTTATCTCTTACTCACCATGGCTACAAAATAGACACTGTTGTGTGGGACTAGAAGCTTGTCTCTCAACCAACGGTTCTTAGAATTCTTCTGAAGAAGGCCCCAATCTATGACAAGGTCCCAATAGGTACCAAAGATTGCTGCATTCAATGAGGAAATGAAAGCTATAGTCTTCCAACCAATCCCTTGTTTGAGCTCATAAGCTGTCCTCATAGTCACAGCTATTATGGTTGAGAAATATTTCAATGCATTGATTCCTTGCATACCATCTCTCTCTTCGTACAGGTGACGAAGGCACTTGGAAGAAAAGAAAAAAAGTGTTTTAGGTGAGTAATTTTTGTGGAAATATTTCAAAGAACAAAGAAATTGACTTTGAGCTTATGTATGAAATTTCAGCCAAGTTAAGTTCCAATTTCAAGCAATTTCACAAACTAAGGTGTCATTTTAATAATTAAAAAAAAAAAAAACTTGTTCGGTGTACACAATGAAAACAAAAATGAAGAAACTGTTGAAAAAAATGGTTAATATAGGCATATTTTTTTAGCTCAATTTTGAGTGGGCCCCAAACGTCTTTTGGGGTGGGTCCGAAGAGGTGATGTGTTCCTTGCCGCGTGGCAAGTCACACGGTGAAGACGGAACGTCAAAACCATTTATGAGTGAATGGGAAGTTGACGTCGTTTTCGGATTTAACTTTAATTTTTTAGATTAAATTCATTTGAATTTTTTCAATAAAAAATTATGGTGGGAATTCAATTTAATTCTAAATTCAAATTTTGAGTTCCTAAGTGGTTTCTTAAAATTTGTAATTGTGAGAATTTAATTTAATTCTAAATTCAAATTTTAGGTTCCTGAAAAGTTTCCTAAAGTTTGTACCTCATCATTTATTTATTTATTTAACTATTTCAATAGTTTAATATATATATTTAATTAGTTTAATATATATATATATATATTTGAAATAGTTTGAATAAATTAATAAAGTTCTACAGGTTATAATTGTTGACTAACGGTCAAACTTTTCAAAGTTGTTTGAACATTGGTTTTCCTTGTGCCCGTTGGTCAAACAATTATTTTGCACCTTTTCACTTATTTGAAGCACCTTTTCGGGTTTGATTTGTTGCTTATATATATAGATACATTTCCAGCAGTTGAAAAACCCGAAAAAATTCAGTCTGTATTTTTGTTTTGATATTGCTGTCCTCTTTGCTCTAAGTACATATATTCTTCATATATAATTTTAGGGAAAAAAAAATATTCAGAGAGTTAGAACACAGGTTTGGTTCGCCGAACAAGTTGTTTGGAGTACTACTACAATTTATGAAGATCATTGTATCTTGGGAGATAGACGCCACTCAACTGTAAGTACCATAGCGGAGCGAATCTGTCTTAAGGACAGAGTGTCACACACTCGACTTGGTCTTGTAATTTTTATTTGGTTCGACAAAATAAATTCGGTATGTTATTTATTTATTTTGTTTGATTTTATTTCTTGTTATTTTATTTACACAGAAGATTGTTCCAACAAGAACAACACATGCTTATATATCCTAAGGGAGGAGGGAACAAAGGTGAACCCCAATACCCACTTGGCCAAATGCATCCATACTTGGTATAGTTAAGATTCACAATGCAAAAGAAAAAAGGGGAGGTTTAGTTTCGAAAATATATAAAGATTGTATTAAAATATTGAATTTTGTAAAGATTTATGGAGGACAAAGTGAATAAAGTATAAGTTAAATTTTTTCATTTTTCCTTTTATTATTTTCCACTTATCTCCTTCTTTTTCTTTTTCTTTTATTTTTCTTTACAATTTTTTGTACAGATTCTAGATCAGCTTCAATGAATAATGGATGGAAATACCAAAAGTAATGTTTGGCTTCCATGTAAAGGGAGGAGAAACCATGGGGGGTTGAGTGGAGCTCTCCAAAAGGATGCTTCCTCTCTAATTTGCTTGAAAGAAGATTACAAAATGAAATAGGAAAGCTTTCATCTTTATGCATTTCCATACAAAATGGTAGTGAAGTTTAGAAGAATTAGCCAAATTTCCCTGAAGGGGAAAAACATAAATTAGTTTGCCATTTTTAATTTGGGTTAAATAACTTTGGTACTTTGTCTTATTTTGGCTTTTGAAATTTCAATTTTGTCAAATGGGACAAGAACTTATCAAATTTATGTTTAAATGGTTCCTAAGACCAGTTTTGTTCAAATTTTAGTCTAAACAAAAATACCCATGTTTTTGTTATAAAAATTGGACGGAAAATGGTGTTGGGACAATTTAAATAAATATTGTATTTATATAAATATTGTCACTGAATTATATGAGTTCTAGTCGTTATACCACTTTGATTATTTGGGTGGAAATCATATATTAGAAAAACAAGGGCCCGTTTGATTTAGTTTTTAAAATGAAATTTGAGTTTTGAGTTATACTTTGAAAAATAAGTTTTTGAAATAAGATTTGAAAAGAAAAAAGAAAAAAAAAATTGTTTAGTTATGAATTTTAAAAAAAGTTTTGAGTTTTATTTTGAAAATATTTTGGATTTATTTTTTTCAAATAATTAAAAAATTTAGTATTTTTATTTTTTTAGGATAAATATTGTTATTGTAAATATTTATTTATTTTTTTAATGTGAGTTGTATTTACTACATTTGTGAGTTGTATTTTTTAAAAATATTTAAAATTTAAAAAAAAATAAAATGGTAGAAAAAGTGAATCCGAATACCCACTTAATCCGAATCTGATCCAAACTTATGAACCCTTTTCAATTATACTTATTTAAAATTCATATTAACCCATCCAAATCAATAAATGATTTAAATGGATTGCTCATTGTCAATCCAATTAAAATTGATAGGTTGGATCGACAATTGAAATTGGATTACATAGATTAGACATGGGTACGTATTTAAATCTGCTTAAATAAATTTAAATATTTTTTAAAAAATAAAAATAGTTTTTTTAAAAAAAATAAAAATAAAAAAATATTTTTTAGAAAAATAGCAAATAAAAAATAATTTTAAAGAGCTAAATAAAAAAAATATTTTTTTTGAATTTTTTTTAAAAAAATAGAGTTTTGAAAAGAGTTTGGTTATGAGTTTTGAAAAGAGTTTTAAAAATTTTGTTTGATTATAATTTTTTTTTAAAAAAATTAAAAATTCTTAATTTAAATTATGATTTGAAAAGAGAACCAAATGCTACCAAGCATTTTCTACATCTAGTGCGATGAAAAATATAAGTTAATAAAATATTTTTTACAATTAAATGAAAAATAAGCTTATGTAGATAAAATAAAATAAAAATCTAAAAGTGAAAGTGAAAAATATTTTTTAAATTAAAATCTTATCACATTACACCATAGCTATCATCACCATCACCATCACCATCACCATCACCATCTCATCTCCATCATCACCATCTCCACCACTATCATTGTCGGTCACCATTAACGAATAAATTTTATTGTCACAACTAAATACAAAAAATATTTTCAAAAATTAAAAAAATATTTTGTGAAAAGCACAAGTTTCGGTTATTACTACTTAACTATTTGATGGTGCTTTGGGAAAAAATAAGGATAAACTACTAATAGATTCTAATAATTGGACTTAATTCCTATTAAGTTCTATTGAAAACAAGTCTTAATAAAATTGTCGTTAAAAATAATTTTTTTGTGATAATTTTTTATATATGTCACTAAAAATTGATAATTAGTGACTTTTTTGTTATGATTTTTATAAATTATTATTAAAACTTACAATTAGTGATTTTTTTCTGACAAATTTTTTTTTCATAAAACCTATTAAATAATAAAACTACTTATTATAGTCTATAGGTAAGTGCCAAAAAATAGATAGTTTGGTAACATCTTTTCATATTAAAAAGAATGAATAGTTGGCTCTATCTTGTTATGAGGAAAGATAACAATGTTGCAACGCGAACATTGACATTGCTGTAGACTTCGCTATTTTGGCGGCAATTATTTGTTGGCAACACGTTTCTCCTTCGGCCACGTGTACATACATGGCTCATCTTATCTAATCTATATTATTATATCTATTCTTCTATACTAATCTATGTATCTATATCTATATCTAAATCTATATATTCACCCAAAAAAAAATATCTATATATTTATATTTGTATTATATATGAACACTTCAGTATTCAAGTCTTTGGTGGCTTTTCCTCCTATTATATGGCAGATATTTTTGTCTTAAAATAAAAAATTATTATTTAAAGACATAAGTAATGTTTAAACCCAAAATCTTGAATTATATTAACAGTATTCTTATCACTTAAATAATATATCTATTATAATATTAATTTTTTATTTTTATTTATTTAAATTACACAGTCCCCTCATCAAATATAAATTATTGAA